TTCACAAGCTTAAGAACCTCAAAGGAAAGGTGTCAAAAAGCTGTTGAGAAGCAGGAAGCAGTGGGATGGGGGGACGGGGGTTTGGGAGGCTCTCACAGACATATTTTCAATTTTTTTTTTTATTGAATTCCTTACAAATTATGGAGTGAGGGTGGGGATGAGGGCAAGGAGACAGAACCCATCCTAGGCATAGAGGAGAAAATTAAATTAAATCAAAAATGGGGAAAATTAAAGAGCACTTCCTCTTCCTCCCAAATAGGGGAACTCAGGAAGAAGTAGAGAGAAAGCAGACAGTCCCCTTAGCCCATCTTCTCACCCCCTCCCCCAAGCTGAGAATGAAGCTGCATCTGAGCTCAGCAACCAGAGAGGAACAGGCTTTCCAGCTTTCCCTCTCAGTATCCAGCTGATTCCCCCTCCCTCACACTTCGAGGGATGAGGTTGGAGTAGGCTGTATCTGGCCTCAGCCAGGAGAGAGTAGAGACCTAGAAGAAAAGGTTTTGGGGTCCCCCAATACTGATTCTCCCTCTTGTTGGGGGAGGGCCCTAAGAGGGGGCAGCTCAGACACTGAGCAGCCAAAAGAAGAAGAAGATGGCGAGAAGCAGGAAGAGGGAATCCTGCCAGCTGGAGCCTGCACGTCCGGGTCCCAGGTCTACACCTATAAGGAAAATCAAGAGCTGCAGAAAAGAATCTCTTGTCCCAAGGAAAGGGGCTAGAAGACTCTCATCCTGGGGAAAAGGAACCTCTGGGGAGAAGGCTCTTACCTGGGCCCCGGTAGAAAGGCTCATGGGCGTTGAAGACAGTTGTGAAGAAACCAAAGGGAAAGGCGCCAACACCAAATGAAAGGTGGAAGCCTCCAGCATCCCCATATGTCTGGAATCCCTGTTGAGATGAAGAGGTGGTAGATAGGAGTGACAAAAGAAAAATATTTTGGATACAGAGCCACGATGGGAAAAACTAATACTCACCCCTCTGTTTTCAGGGGCAGGCCTCTGGCCCTGTGGACGTGGCGGTGTTTTCAATCTGTTGGAGATGAAGAAAGATTACAAAAGGAAGCTTTCACCCACCTCTTCTCAAGGCCTTATCTCCAGAGCCTGAGTCTTCCTTCTTTTACTCCCTCTCACCTAGGATCCTGCTGTTTCTGGCTTCCTCTCCCATAGAGAGGAACAACCTTCTCCCGGCTTATCCCAGCCTTACAAACAGGGCATTCTTGTCTTTCAGGCCGAGTCTCCAACCACTGAGGAGAGAAGTGGAGTATAAAGTAAATAGGTGGGGGTTTCTACTCCCTAGCACTCTCCATTTCTCAGTACCCATCCCCCACTTCCCATCCCGCTCCATCCACTCACCTGGTGGAGACAAGGCCAGCTTGTTGGGAGGAGAGATCAGAGGTCAGAATAGCTGCAGATAGAAGACATACAGAGGCCCCAGGCCCCAACTGCCTCCCAGCCTCGCTCCCCTCACCACTCAATACTACACACACATCCCTTAACCTCTCAGTCTTCTTCAACGTATCTGATCTCTCACTTTAAAATTAATTCATATTATCCCAAATGCTCTAAGTCTTCCCCATACTTTGTGTCACTTCCTCAGCATCCACCCTTCACAATCTGATTTATGCCCCCACCACTACACATCAAACTGATCTCTCAACGTGACGTTAAAAAATGCAATAGCTTCAGTTACACTGAGTAACTCCTCCTTTAAGATACGTATCTCCTCCCTTGACTCCAGAGACACCACACTTCCCTGGTTTTCCTTCTACTTCTAATAATGCCTTCTTTGTCTCCTTTGCTGGCTCCTCTTCCCAACCCTTCAAGGTAAGTTCTGTTCTTGGTCCTCTTCTCTCTCCTTTAGCAATCTCAATCTCTCATGGTTTAAGCTATCACCTCTATAAACCCCTAAATCCTTATCTCCAGCCCTGGCGTCTTCTTCCTTAACTGTATCTACAAGTACACAAATGGCTCTGCATCTGGCTATCAGACCAAAATTTCAAATTCAACAATTCAGTTAAATCTAAGTTCATTTATGTAGAGAAACACTGCTAGATTTGAAGTCAAAGGAATCAGGTTTGAATCTGTGCTGGCCTATTTCCTGTGTAATCTTGGGCAAGACATTTGACCTAACTGTATCTATTTCCTTATCAGTAAAATGAGGCTGAACTAAATTATTTCTAAGGTTCTTTTCAGCGTAAATCCTATGATCCTATCTTCCCCCCAAACCTGTTCTTCTTTTGGACTTCATTATTTCTGTCAATGGCAACAAACATCATTCATACAGTCTCCCATATTCAAAACTAGCATTTTTTTTATTCTTTCCTTTTTTTCACCTCTCATATCCAATCAGTTAACAGTCTTGTTAACTTTCACCTCTACATCTTTTCTTTCAACAATGCCCTCCTCTTTATTCCCACTACTTCCCTCAATACAGATTGCCCTCCCACCTCCTCCCATCTATACTCATACTACTACCAGGCCAATCTTCTCCATATACTGGTCAAGTCACTTTTCCGCTCAAAAATTTTTAGTGGCTCCCTAAAACCTCTACCTGGAATCCAAGATCTCTACAGTTGGGAAACAACCTATCTTTCCAATTTAATCTCACTTCATTCCATGTACTCTACTCTCCAGCTAAACTGGACTACTAGTGGTCACAATTCCATACATTTGCTCACCACATCAGATAGGCCTGGAGTGTCCCCTCCTCTAAGTTCAATTACTAGAAGGTCTACTTATTTTTTAAACCCAACACCACCCTTCCCTTACTGTCACCCTCCAACAATAACACATTCACATAGCACTTTGCTTTGAACCTCTCATGCATTTTTCATATATTATTTTATATATTATTTCACATATTATTTGTGTGCATGTTATATCCATGAAGTCAGGAATCATGCCTTATCTAAACTTTCTATCTCCCCCAACACCTACCTACTAACATGTTGATCTGTATATAGTGGACATTTAATAATTATTTACTAAGTTGTTGTCCCTTCTTGGGCTATTATAAATACAGATTGGTTGTACAGCCCAGGTGTCATCAGCACAGGTGTGTCATTTTTTTCCATTCCCCTCCCCCCACGGGACACAGGTGTGTGTATGTCTGTATCCCCTGGCTATCAATAGCACAGATGTGTGATCCCAAAAGTTGTGAGTAGGACAAGTATGTGTGAATGTCCCAGGGCACTGGGAAAATGTCTGTGTGTGTGTATGCACTTACTGAGGCTGTCAGCAGTATAGATAGGGGTGCAGTTGGGAGTAGGGTATATCTCTTAGAATATGTTTTACATATATACTTTTATATCTATATATATACATATATATGTACACACACATACATACACATATATATATGTGTGTGTGTGTGTGTGTATATATATATATATATATATATATATATATATATATATATATATATATATATATATATATATATATATATATATATATATACACACATCACACCAGTATAAGGGTGTATAGGTGTGTGTGTATATGTGTATGTGTTTTCATGATATTCTCACCAACACAGGTATAAAATCTGTAGGTGGGTATCCTGGGGCTGCTGACAATACAGGTAAAACCCTGGGTGGGAATATCCTGAGGTCCTCATCAGTACTAATACAGAAACATACATATGTGTCTCTGTTTCTGGAGTTCTCACATCAGTACCAGAAGAGATGCGTGTTGTAGGTGTGCTGCAATCTTGTGTCAATATAAGACTAATGACAGTGTGCCCAGTACATGTTAGAGGGGTATATGTCTGTCTCCTAGGGCTCTCCATTAGGAATATGTGTGTGTATATGTGTATGTGTGTGTGTGTGTGTGTGTGTGTATGTGTCCCAGAGTGGTTGTATGTTGGGAATGGAGGAGGGGGTAGTTTCTGGGGCTCAGGATAGGCAGAGGCCTATGTATGTGTCCCAGAGTTCTCTCCAGTAAATAGGTGAGTTGGGGCGGGGGTTTGGGGAGAAGGGTGTTCTGGGACCCTCACTGGTACAAGAGTAGGGAAATGTGCGCGCGCGTGTGTGTGTGTGTGTGTGTGTGTGTGTTTGTGTGTTTGTGTGTGTGTGTCCGTCCCGGGGCTCTGGTGGAGGTACAAGTCCTGGGGTTCTCACCAGTACGTGGGAGTGGGTGGGTGGGGCGTGGGGGTGTGTCTCGGGGCTCTCACCAGTACAGGTGGCCGCACATACTGACCACCGCCTCCCGCGCTGTCTCCAGACAGATGTTACACTCGAAGGCCGCACCTGCCCCTCCCCGGTCGCGATTTGGCCCTTCGGAGCCCCCGTCCTCCTTCCTGGACGCTGCCATGGCCCCTCAACTGTTGCCCCCGCAACCCAGGTCTTCCCCCACTAAACACATACACAAACCCCCGATGGTCCGAAAAGCCCGCCCCCCTGCTCGTGCCCATTGGTCATCCGTCAAGGTCTTCGAGACTCCATTGGTGATCCTGCCCACCAGTCACATCGCGTTCGGAAGGAACGATTGGGCGACAGTCTGGGGAGGGAGAGGCACGTATTGCCCCGCCCTTGAACTGTGATTATTGGCCAAAGCAGTCGCCAGTCAAGATGCTGCGTCATAGGATTAGCCGTAAAATGTGCCCTGGCAGACCCTACTGTCCGCGGTGAAGGAGGGCGCACCCTGTCATCATCACTATTTGTCCCTCACTGCTAAGTGTCGTGTTCAACTGGCTCCAGGACACAGATTCTACTTACTAATAACCCAGTCAATTCCCGCCCCCGTCCTTTCTTCACTTCCTCTTCTGGAGACTACTCGAGATCCTATTGGACTACGAACGCGCAAGTTCCGAAGCAGCCGGTTGGCTGGGAAATGGTCGCAAGGGTGCGTGTACGGGATAGGGCGGGCCTATCCGGAGGAGGTTGTGCTTCCTTGAACCCGCCCCTTCCTCTCCGCCTTCTCGTTGCTATAGCGACCGGATCGCAATTGGTCCCGGCTTGGCCACCACCCCAGCTTTAAATTCCTTCTCCGCTCACCTCTTCCACCCAACCCTCGAATTTGATTGGCTACTCTAGACCTCGCAGATTAGCTAGGATTGGGAGCAAAGAGGCGTATGACAGTCACCGGGGTTCAAAATGGCTTTAGCCGTTTTGGTGACGTAAGAAACAGAATCTGAGTTCTCCCAGCGCCCTTTATAATGATGTCTCCAGGAGAATGGCGATTGGCCCCATCTCCTTGACGTCACAGATCTGTCGCGAGGCTTATAACACCCTTCCCTCCCCACCCCCATCCCCACGAGCGCACACGCACTCCATCCCCCTTAGTCTTGGCCGACACACTGAGCGGACGTCGACTCTCCAGGTTCCTTTCTTCGATGACGCACACAGCAGAAACGAGTTTAGCCCTAGTTCACTTCGTGTGGTGCCGTGGAGAAAGAGAGCTGAATTTGGAGTGAGAGAACCTGGGTTCAAACCCTGGCCCAGCCTCTGCCTATTTGGGGGACCCCAGAAGTCACTGGACTTCCCTCAGATCCTAATGTCTTCGTCATCAGTGGAAAGAGGGGCTGGACGGTCTTGTCTCCATCATGCTTTGGATGATCTCCAAGGTCCTGTCCAGTTCTCATACTCTTAATGTTTCTACCATGATCTGCAGAGCTAGAATTAGACCCGCCCCTTCCTCCCTGTGACATACCAAGCAGAACTGGGGTCTTCTTCCTGGCCAGGGTGCCCGTCCCCTACCCGCTACAGCTCAGCGTGACCCAGGTGCCTGGTGCAGGCAGCCAGGCCTGAGCAGTGAGTCTCCCTCCTCTGTGGCCCAAGCACAGCAACCTGGTAATAGCCTACCCTTTTTCCCCCTACTCCCACCCATTCCACCTCCAGTCTGTCCTCCAGCCCTGGCCAGTGAGAGACTTAGGTTAACTGTGGGGGCGGGGATTTGGAGGGATAGAGAGGGAGAGGTAGTAGAGAAGCTTATGGTCTCCACCCAGTTGTTGTCTCTCTAGGCATCAGTTTCCTTGGGCCTTTGTAAAACGAGGGTAGGTGATCTCCAAGGCTGCCTCCAGCTCCGACATTCTATGTTCTATGGTTCTATGGGAGGGAGAACACAGACCAGACAGGGGCCCTCAAAGAGAAACCAAGACATCTGGGGGGGGAAGAACCCAGAAGAGCCCCAGCGTCTGGGGGGAACTGGAAAATAAAGGGAGAGCAGGAAAGGGCTACCCCCAAGTTGATGGAGCTGGTTAGTTGAAGGTAGGGAACTTATTAGGGAGAGAGAAAATAGGGCCAGGCAAGACAGCAAGGAAAAGAAGGGAAGGTGGTGGTGGTAATGTTTTTTAGAAAGAGATAGGAGGGAGAGTTGGGTGAAAGGGATGAGACTGAGTCAGTAGAGGAGTGCCAAGTGGGGTGGAAGAAGTGTGGGAAGCCAGGGCCAGGGATGGGCTTGGGCTGCTAGAAAACAAGAGTTAGAAACTGGAGATGGCAACCTTAAGGAGTTAGGGTCTGCTCCACATTGCACCCCAAGCTGCATGGTCTGCCCATACCCTCAGGAAGAAGGAATAACAATGACCTGATCTCAGTGGTGGGGAAAGCATATACAATTCATCTTTGGGGTGAAGGGGCAATTCCCAGCCTGGCTGAAGAAGAGAGACCCTATAGGGAAAGTGCTAGGAGAAGAAGAGAGAAGGGAACTGGGGAATTAAGAAGAGAAGGAGGACGGTAATGAGGGTAGGAGGATCAGAGAGAGGCAAGAGGAAGGAAGGGGAGGAACAAGGCTAGTGTTCTGAGAGACCATGGTGAGATAATGAGGAGGAGGGAAGGAAGAGGACAGCCACAGGATAGAGATGGAAAGATTAGGAGAGACAGTGAGAGATAAGGATGGGAGAGGCTAAGCTGGAGTTGAAGGGAGGCAACTGATGAAAAGGAATGATGAGTAGTGAGAAGCAGAGGAATGGAAAAATAGGGAAAGAGGAAAGGGAGCCTAAAGAGCAGAGAGAAGAAAGCTGAGAGAAATGGAAGGAGGGAGAGATACAAGACCAGGGAAAGCCAGAAAGTATTGGAACCAGAGCCAGAAAAAAAAAAAGGGTTATGAAAGAGAGACAGCTGGAAGGAGTACGGCAGAAGCCTCAGCAGGAGGAGCTAGCAGGAAAAAGATGAGGCAGGGTGGGCCAAAAGCTGGAGGGAGGGAATGCTTGGGTCCCTGTCCAGGCTATTGGCAAGACAGCCCGCCTGTCACCACCCCCCACTTCCTGGCCAGCCCCGGAAACAAGCAGGCGTTGGTGGGGGGGGGGGGCAAGCAACAGCAGCTTCGGCAGCCCCAGCCCTCCGAGAGAGAGACAGCAGTAAGGGAGGGAGGGAGAGATCGGGGGAACACCCCCCCTCCCACCATTCTCACCACTATGGGTCCGGCCCCCCACTCCCACAGCCCCTCCACCAGCCGGGGCTAGGACACCCCCAAACCCTGAGGGCCCCCTGGCACCGACTCCCCACCAGAGACAGAGACACAGCCGCACCACCGCTGCCGCAGCCTGGCTGGGGAGGGGGCCGGCCCCCTAGGCCCCCTACCCCAAGGAGGTGGGGGAGGGATGGAACTGGGGAGGGGGGATGAGAGATGGGTTGGGGGAGGAGGGAGCTGGGAGGTCATGGAGGTGGAGAATGGGGTCTGGGGAGAGAGAGTGCAAGATAGACTTGGGAGAGGAGCCGCTGGGAAAGATGGAGAGAATCCAGACAGAGAAAAGGGATGGAGGAGGGAGGGACTGAGACCTGGTGAATGGGGGTCTGGCCAGATTAAGGGGAATAGTGATGGGGTGAGGTTGAGGTGTGCTGGTGAGGGGAGAGAGAAATTTCCTACACCTCCACCCCCGAGTTCCTCTTTCTGCCCCTTGTATCCTTGGAAGGAGTGTAGATTATAAACTACATTCCTGACTCCTCCTCCAAGAGAATATTGGTTTCTAGGATCATACCAGGACACCCCTCTATTTCCATGCACAGAGCCTAAGGTCTCTACATATGTGCGTGTTAGGTAGGCCCTTCCTGATATATATGTGTCTTGTGTATTACCTTGTTTTCTCCATTGAGTGTGCATGCTTTAGACAGTGGCCTGTGTAGTTGAATTATGTTCCCATATGATCCATGGTCATGGCAGATGTGCTCACATTAGTTGGATGTTGTATCCATTCCCCCTTGGGAAGGGCGACTGTAGTACTGTTGTTTTCCTAAGTTCATATTTGTCCAATCACATAGTATAATATAGCCTGTCCCTTGTGTAATATCCATTTGGAGTATAATTTACATACCCTATGCATCTGTATATTCAAATGTTGCCTGCCTTCTCAGATCTTTCCATTGCATATTAGTTGTATGTTTATGTTCATATGCTTTGCCCATGACCGTCACTGCCAAAGTAGTTGTCTTCACATGTTACGTATGTATGTTGTGCCCATGGCATGTTTTGTTTTGGTTCATATGTTGTACCTGTGATGATTGCCCCATAGGGTTGCCTTCAGGTGTCTGATTCCATGATTTAATTTACTTTTAACACATGTCTTCATGTTGTATTAACCTCATTTACTGCACGTGTTTTTCTAAGGAAGTCCTAGCATTGCTTGAGCACTTACATTTCATGTTTTATTAGCATAGCATTTCTGGTCATATAATAACATTCATTTCACCATTTCCTTCCTGTAATGTTTCGTAAACCATGTTTGTGTAACGCATCTGGCAGTCTCATGTGATTGAATGTCCTCGGATATGTGTATTCCTAGGGAATCATGTATACATAGCCCATGTAGAGGGTAATGGACCTCCAGACACACAGAAAACCCATCTCTGCAAATGTCTTTGTATGTCCTTCCCATGTTTGACCTGGACCATAGTTCTACATGACATGTCCATACTACTACTGTATTTTGTCAGTGTGTACTCATATGACATGTGAATGAGTATGTATGTTACAGGTTTCACTCCCATCTATGTCCATGTTTTTATTAATGTTGAACATTAATCCCAATGCTTCTATCATTTGCATGTTTAATGATTTGGCATGTTATTTTCACCCCAGGCATGTTATTACTACTCTGTATGTTTCTCTACTACATTTTTATGTTATCTCCATGTGATTTTTACATTTGCTGTGTTCATTCTCTTATTAAGTTATTACCCTTCTGCTTCTTCACATTATTGAATTTTCCCCTGTGTACTTTCTCATTACCTCACCAGCGGTCTTGACATCCACATGATCTCTCTGTTCCTGATGATAGCATGTTATACCTTTGGCATATTGGGCATGTGCTTGGAGTCCATCATATTCCTTGTTAGAAGCAGTGTTCCTAGGGCTGCACTGTATTAAATATCTGTTGTTCTTGTTATCAACAGCATGAGCATGTCTTCATTCTTGTCTTCTTCACATGGTGTATGTGGGTGTGTGGCTGTGTGTGTGTGTGTGTTCAGAGGATTATTACACATAGGGGTTGACTTCTGTTATCACCATTTCTTCATTCCCAAGGCCTACTTACTCTCTGACCTGTTTATCACCACCTTGTCCCTTACTTGCCTTATCCATTTGTGGTCAGCTTTTTAAGTGTCTGTTTTGTGTGTCCCAAATCAGAATGTGCTACTATCATACTTGACTCAATTAAGCAAAATGGTATTGTGTGCTGAGCATTATTACCATCCTGTGCATGTTATCTTCATGTTAATCATCCTTAGGGAAGAGAAGAGGGGTAGGTAATGTACTGTAAGCATCTTGTATGTGTTCCTATTCAGAGATGTCTTTTCTGCTAGGCCATTTGAAAATGTGTATGTGTTTGTCACATGTTTCTTCCTGGTGATGTTATCACACTTGGCCAATGAGATAATCTCTTCCTTTACCTTTGACACTCAAGTCAGTCACTGTCTACCTTTAATGAGGCAGAGAATGGGGGGAGGAGAAGGAAGATAAATTGTGTCCACTACTTAGACGTCCCATTGTCTTCTTTTTCCTCCTGAGCTGTTTCTTCCTCCTGAAGCAGGTAGTATGATCTTACACACATATAACCCTTCCTCTGTTTCCATAGTCCTATGGATTCTTTACAGTTCTGTAGGATTCTTACATATCACCTATGTAACCCTCACCATGTGTCCTCTAATATTTGTTGAGGGGTGTAAATTGGGTGGGGGCAGAGGACAAGAGGAACATAGCTCTCTGTCCCTGGGACAGTATGTATCTGTCTGTTTTGTCCTTAGATTTGTCTGTATACTTTTAGGGGGATAAGGGGAAAAGTTTGGGTGGAATGGGGATTCTCTGGACATGTTTCTCTTTCTCTGCCTCTGTTAGAGGCAACATGGCCATGGAGCCAGGAAGACCTGGGTTCACGTCTTGCCTCTGACACATATGGCTGTTTGACCCTGGGCAAGTAATTTAATCTTTCAGAGCTCTAGGTAACTCTTAAAAACTATGAGTTGTATTGAAAGTGGTGTTCTAGCTTGGTAAAGGGAATTTGCTCACTTGGGAGTTCCCTATAGTAATGAAAGTATAGAGCTAGTCCCTATCCCTGTGTATCCATATTTGTCTTTCTCCATATATGTCCAAGTATGTTTGTACGTGTGCATGTGTCTATCAGACTGTTCATAGATGTGATTCTCTTGCTTTTCCTCTGTCACTCCATATTCTGATATACCTTATGCGCATGTCTTTTTAAAAAATATCTCTGTGTATATGTGTACCATCTATATATGTCTTTTTATGTATATATTTGGGGGCCAAAGGAAGAGGGAGGGAGTTTTCAATTCTTATGTCCCTACTACCTCTCTGGAGTGTCTCAGGTGGGTGGGAATCTAGGAATGGAAGGCCCCTGCCCCTGCCCCCCAATCTAGCCTTCTAACTCCTGTTCTCCATCTGTACTCTTGTCCTATTATTTCTCTGCTCTGGTCCCTCTTGGGCACTCCCCCCAACATTCTCCCTTCTAGTGCCTCAGGCCCACTATCCTTCCCCTCCCTCCCCCCTACTCCTTACAGGTGGCCAGCATGGAGCTGTGGCCAGGGCCATGGACAATGCTGCTGCTCTTTCTGCTGCTGCTTTTGCTGCTGGTGCCTGTGCTCTGGGGTTACAGCGCCAGTGCCAAGTACTTCTGCAAGATGGCATTCTACAACGGCTGGATCCTTTTCCTGGCAGTGTTGGCCATCCCTGTGTGTGCCCTTCGAGGGCGAAACGTGGAGAACATGAAGTGAGAGGGAAACCCAAGGAATGGGAAATGAAAAGAGGGTGGGGAAGATGGATTACCAGAGGTGCCAGGCACAAGGGAATAAGGAGTGGGGAAGACACAGAAGGACCCATCGGATTATAGACATAAGGCAAAGGAGAAACAGAAAAAGATAGAGAAGGGAAAATTGAGATGGAGAAAAAGACAGATGGCACAAGGAAGGGAGTAGTATTAGAGGAATATTGGGAAAATATGTGGAAGAAGTATGTGACCCTCTCTGACAAACTCCCAAATGTGGTATCCTGGGCCTGTCCCTGTAGGATCCTTCGGCTGATGCTACTGCACATCAAGTACCTATACGGGATCCGACTGGAGGTTCGAGGGACCCATCACTTTCCCCCCTCCCAGCCCTATGTTGTTGTCTCCAACCACCAGAGCTCCCTCGACCTACTAGGTAAGACAGCCTTCTCTCATAACCATGGGAATATTTCTTCCTTGAGTATCTCTTCTCCTTCTAGCTTTTAAAACTCTCATCCCCAGGGAGCCTTTTACCCCAGAGATATTCATTACCCCACACCCCAGATACATTGGGTCTCAATAGGAAATATTCCTAGAACCTCTCATCTTAGGAAGTCCTCCTCCCCTCTTCCCCACTGTTTCCTCCCTGAGAATTTCCTCCCCATCTATATCAGGAACTTCTCTTCTTCCTTCCCACCTTTCAGGTCCCTCCTGTCCTACCCCTCCCACCCCTCTCTGCCCTGAGTCTCCCTTCCCTAGGAGGTAAATCTCCCTCCAGCCTACTTCTCTCACCTTGAAAATGTCCATGACATCCTTGGTATGTCACTTTCTCGTCATTCCATTCCCCCTCCCATCAAGTAAAAGCATCTTTCTTTACTGCCCCATAACCTCCTATTTCCTGCTCTTGATATCATACTCCCTGGTTCCACTTCCCTGCCCCAGGAATGATGGAGGTGCTCCCAGGTCGTTGTGTACCCATTGCCAAGCGGGAACTGCTGTGGGCAGGGCCAGCAGGGCTAGCGTGCTGGCTGGCTGGAGTCATCTTCATTGACCGGAAACGGACTGGGGATGCAATCAGTGTCATGGCTGAGGCTGCGCAGACCCTGCTCAGCCAGAATGTGAGTTGCCCCAAAAAAGAAAAACATCCATCGGGAATAAGGGATTTAGATGGCCATACAGAAGCACCTCTGATGTCCCGGGGTTTTGTCTGTTCCCTGGCACTGACTCCTCCCTCTGTATTGCACTGGCTCTAGCTCTGGCTTGTTCTCTGTCTCTTCTTATCTCTGATCCAGTTTCTCCCTTAGGTCCGAGTTTGGGTTTTCCCTGAGGGTACCAGGAACCACAATGGCTCTATGCTTCCCTTCAAACGCGGCGCCTTCCACCTTGCTGTTCAGGCCCAGGTCAGAATTCAATTTCCCCATTTGACCACTGACATACTACCCTTCTCCTAAACTTTTCAGCTAACTATCTGTGGGCTGATGAGAAGGAGAAGAAGCTCACCAGGAGATGATCAGATGAAGGGACTACCAGGGGAGGAGGGCTGAGGAGTGAGGCTGTTCTCTGATTTCCCCCTTTCCCCGCCTGCAGGTCCCCATTATTCCCATTGTCATGTCCTCCTATAAAGACTTCTACTGCAAGAAAGAACGGCGCTTCACCTCGGGTGAGAGGACCAAAGTGCTGGTCAGGAAGACTTGGTGGGGAGAGAGTAGAGTGGCCAGTGGGGTTGTGGGGGAAGGATGAAATGTGAGTCTTCGAGAGGCCAGGAAATCATTTAGTCATAGAACCATAGAACATCAGAGCTGGACCATTTAGACAAGTCCCTGGAAATCAGTCTCAACAAATATAGAATATCTACTATGTAAGTCATTATGCCAAATGCTGCGGTGGGCACAAAGGTGTCCTTCAAAGAGCTTATGATCTAGTTGGGAAAACAGGGCATAAATGTATGAAAAAATAGCTAATACTACAAGGTGTGAAAAAGGTGTTGGTGTTTATGGAATGCAGAAAGTATGAATCACTTTGGGCTAGAGTGGTCAGGGAAGACTTCAAAGAGAAGATGGGATTTGAGCTGGGCCTTGAAAGGAAAAACACTGGCCTGGGAGACCGAAAATCTGGGTTCTAGTAATGGCCTTCCACTAACTCTCTGGGTGACCTTAACAGTCATCTAGAAGGTCATGCTTTCTTCCTTTTCTGAAGAAAATTTTGAACCATTCTGAATGTTTTCTTTCTCCTGGGCAGGTATCACGATATTTCCCCACCTCTTCCTCCTTGCCCCTCCACCTTCTCTCTGCTTTTACTTCTCTATAGGATTCTTCACAGACCACCTTAGATAACCCTGGTCAGGTAACCCCCTCTGTAGATATTTATCTCAATTTATAGAAGAGGAAACAGCTCCAGAGTAACAGGGCAGTGTAGCATTTTATAAAGCTTCAGTTACTTTGAACACTTTGTAAGGTAGGTAATGAATTATTATTATCTCCATTTGGCAGATTAGGAAACTGAGGCACAGAGGTGACTTGCCCAATGTCACATAGCTAGTAAAACCAGAATCCTGGTCTCTTTACTAAACCACAATGCCTCTGAAAAATACGTCCACCTTTGTGGTTATTGGATGAATTGATAACGGATATAACGCAGTCCCCATTCAGTAGAAGGAATAATACACTAAGCTGTCAGGAGCTGTAGGTTCCAGTTCCAGTGTTCACACTGACTTAAGTTAGGCAAGTTGCTTTCTTCCCCTCTTCTCCTCCCCTGTGCAGTGAGGGCACTGGATTTGATTTTCTTAATGGTCCCTTCCAGCTCTGACATCCAGTGGTTCTTTGAATGAGTTCTGCTGGAGGTAGAGGGGAGAAGATAGAAGAGACAAAGAGGCAGAAAGGAGAAACTTAACGTCTGCTGGGAGGAATGTATAGGCTGGCTAGTGTGGCATGAGCAAAAGCTTTTTTGGAGTGTAATGGGAGATAAAACTGGAAAAAGGGAAGTTAGGAGGGCCTGTGGAAAACTGAAGAAAGGCCTGGAATAATAGCCTGTGTGTCTCCCCATCCCTAGGGACATGTCAGGTACGGGTGCTGCCCCCCGTGGCCACAGAAGGTCTGACCCCAGACAACGTGCCCGACCTCGCTGACAGAATTCGCCACTCCATGCTCACAGTTTTCCGGGAGATCTCTACTGACAGCCGGGGAGGGGGTGACTATCGAAAGAAGCCTGGTGGGGCTGGTGAGGCTGGCCTCTGAGCCTTCCTCCTACCACTCCTCCACATTCCCTCTCCCTCAACCCAGTGGTCCCTGGACTGGGCCTGACTCCCCTCTTCACTTCTCCCATCCCATTTATCCTTTGTGGTACAGCCAAGCCTCTCCTCACCCCACTAATTCTCTACTCTGAATCTTCAACTTCTGAAGTGGACATGGACAAAGCGCTTTTCCTCCAGCCCTTTCCCTTTCTTCCCAAACCCTCCTCTGTGGACTTTACCGTCTTGGTGCAGCCTATACGCTCCCTCCATGCCTCCCATCTTGTCTGTGGAACATTCTGCTCCCCTCTCTGTCTCCTGAGTGGTATGTTCCACTGGACATGGACCACTCCCACCCCATAGTGGACACTAAGTGGAAGCTTCCTCTGTGGCTCTCCTCCCCACCCTTGATTTGTGGAGTCATCCACCTCTGTGGAAGCACCCCGCTCTCTCTCACCTACGCACCTCCCAACTCTGTGGATGCAAATGGACTCATCCGACTTGGGGGGTGGGGGTGGGGAGGACCCATCTCGGGAATGGAAGTAGACCCAGCCAGCTCCTCTTTGCAATCTTCCTCTCCGGTCTGCAGCCCAGCCCAGCCTCTCTTTCCTCCCCACCCATCCCAATGGATATATGTGGAGTCTTCTTTCCAGGGACCTGGACCTTTCTCTTTCCTTGGTACAGTCCGTTTAACCTGCCTTATTCTTACTCATCCCGGCCCATTCTTTCCTGTGACACACTGACCCACACATAAACTGGTCTCCACAGAATTCCCTCTTCTTTCCCACCCCACTCCTCCTCTTCCCCCTTCTCCCCTTAGGCAGTGGGTGGTACACTCCAGTGGTAGTACACTCTTAAATTTCCCTGGAGTAGCGGGAGACCAGCCCAATCCAGCCCTCTCCCGACACAGTCCCTAGGCCTCAGGCTGTACCATTAGGCCCAGACACCAGGGAAGGGTGGAATTACAGGTGCTGCATTAATTTCTTACTCCTGGAGGTGGGGTAGGAAGAGCTGAGAGCTGGTTAGAGGAGGCTGGAGTAGGTTTTATTTATTTTTCTTTCCTTTTGCTGCATTGGAGCTGCCCTTCCCCCACCTCCCTGCGTCCCGATTGGCAGCCAAACGCTCTCAGTGTTAAAAGTCCAAAGGGAGGGGGGGGAGAATCACCCCCAGCGCCTTGGCGGAGCGGGAGTCTGTTTACAAAAAGGGGTAGAGAGACCCTGCCAAACCTAGGCTTCCTTGCCTCCATCTCCAGCCTAGTAGAGGAGGATCCCAGCCTTAAGTAGCACATCCCCATTGGGGTGGGAGGGGCCAAGAGAACCCCATTCTTCTCTGGGGGAAGCCAGTCTTGCTGACACCCTTCCCCCAGCCTAAGGAGCATTAATGAGAGGGTGGGGCATTGGGGAAAGAAGGGCTATTTGATGCTGCCACTCTCCTCCCCCCCAACCCAGGCCAGTGTGACCCGAGGAGGTGAGGGGACTCCCCGGGATTTTCTTTCTCCCAACCAGTTCTGCTTTTCCTCCCAAGGCATTAGCTGGGTCTCCGTATTCCAGTCCTCTCCTCCCCTCTCACGGGTACCAGGACTGCCCTTTCCTCCTCTCCAAACACTCCCCATCACACACACACACACACACCCCCTCGAGAGGTCTGAAGGGAGGGGATGAAGGGAGCAGTCCAAGGGTTTGCTCCGCTCCGATGGTTTTTATTATCTGGATTAACAGCGAGATACGGAGAATAAAGAGAGATGGAAAGATTCCGACTGTTTGTGTACCTTGTTGAGGGAAAGGGATCTCGGTGGCCCAAACGCTATCTTAAGCTAAAAGGGAGGGGGAGGGGGATTGCAGGAGGCGAATAATGTTCTTGCCGGTCCCCTCGGCAGCTGTTTTCATTCCTTCAGCTACTCCCGACACATCAACTTGGTGATCCCGGCATCTAGTCTCCTTCGCATTAGTGGATTTCAATGTAAATTACCAAGTGGGGGGTGGAGAGGGGCAGGCGTTGGAAATAAGACGGTGTTGATGTCCAAAATAACCCTTATCTGCGGCGGTTGAGACCTGGACCCAGGCTGTTGTCCTCACAAGAACCTGTTAAAAGACACGTGGAGACCGGCGAAAGTTACTCTCCTTTTACAGCTGATTTCGGTCTCAGCGTTGGGAGAGTGAGGGCAGGAGCGCTGATAAACACCAAGCCTTCCTCGGAGAATTTGACCTCTGCCCTATAGGGGAAAAGATTTAGAAGCAAAACCCGAGAGAGTTGTTAACACGTAAGAATAAACGGTAGGAAAAATTTAATTAGGGGTATGACTTGATCGAAGGCTGCATAGAGAACAGATACTAATATGTATGGGGTGAGGGTCAAGTGTATGCGAGTGTGTACAGTGGAGCAGCGGACTCACAGGCGCCCAGTTTCTCCTCCAGAAGCAGCACCTGATCGCTAAGCGAGTCGATCCGGTCTCCTCTCCCCCACAGCTCAGCCACTTGCTCGGGCCGGATCGTTTCAGGAGACACTGGTAGCACAGCTCGAACCCAGGCACTCACCTGTGCTGCCCACTGCAGAAAGATACGAAAGGAGCTGCTATGACCGCCTAGCCCACTGGGAGGCCACGCTCCTTGGCCCGTCCAGTGATAGCCTGTTGCGTCTAAATTTACCTATTGGGATGCCCCCACCCCTCCCCAAGAGCTCCCAGTGGTCTCACCTGCTCCAAGACCTCCAGCCGCCCACGTAATTCTCGGACCTCCTGCCTCAGGGAATGCTCCTCTTTTTCCGCCTCCCGAACTGGAGAGTATAATTCAGCAAATATTAAGGGCACTATACTAGATGACACTGCTGTCTCAGGGAACTTACAGTCAAAAGTGAGAGTAAGGTAAGACATGAGCAAATAATTAAGATAAAGGAGAGCAAGAACTGCAAAAAGGAAAATGTCATAGAGGGACTTGGAAGTCAGGGATTTAGAGTCAGGAAAAAACCTGGATTCGAATTCTACATCTCACACTAACTGGAAACTGTGAACCTCAGTTTCCTTGTCTGTAAAATGAGATGGAGCTAGATGAGCCTCTGAAATCCTTTCCAGCCCTAAATCTATGATCCTATAAAATGCTATGAGAAATTTGAAAGAGTCCCCTCTTTTCTGAAGGATTATAAAATCAAAGGGACCTCAAAAGCCATCTAGTCCAGAGGAGGGGAGTTATCAGGTACTTGAAGTTGGGACTTGAAAAAAGTAAAGTTGGGGCAGCTAGGTGGTGCAGTGGATAGAGCACTAGCCCTGAAGTCAGGAGGACCTGAGTTCAGATGTGACCTCAGACCAAACCCTTAACACTTACTAGCTCTGTGACCCTGGGCAAGTCACTTAACCCCAATTGTCTTTAAAAAAAAAAAAAGGTAAAGTTTTGAGAAGATGGAAATAAGAGTGTGACAATGGGTGAGGAGAAGGAGAATGGGGATGGAGTTATATGAAACAAGGTTCCCAAGGTAGGAGCCAGATTGTGAGGGGGTCTTGAATCCCAGGATTTTCTAGTCACAAACCCCAGGAGGTCCTTCACATCTCATGATAATTGATAAGAAGGGGGGAGGCAATGTGAAGGATAGAGTGTTTCTCTTACCTGTCAAGCTAAGGATACTGGGACTGGGAAGTGGCTCAGGGGGGGCCTCCTCACAAGTCCTTCCATCCGTCCCTAGGGCTAGACCTTTGGGGCAGCTGCAGGTAAAGCTGCCCAGGGTGTTGGAACAGCTATGAGAGCAAAGAATGATGCCAGTCCTGCATTCGTCTACATCTAAAGGAAGAGAAAGAAGCCCGGAGATGCCGTGCTCTAGATTCCCCAGAGCAGGCAGTCAGAGAGTGTGGATGAGGAGCCAAAATCAAGGGAGCCTTATACTCACCCACGTGACAGTGCTTCCCTCCCCAGCCTGGGGTGCATTCGCACTGGTCAGGCTGGACGCAGATACCTCCATTCTGACAGGGCTTAGGACAGATGGCTGGGGATGGGAAGAAGGGGATGGGGTCAGGGTAGAGAACGAGCTCCCCTCTTCCATCTCCCCGGCAGGCTCTCACAACCCTACCACCATCCATTCTCCCCTCCTTCCCACACACCTTCTTCACAGGTCAGCGCCCCTGGGTGCTTCTTCCTCCAGCCCTGACAACATATGGCATGAATCTGCTGCACCTCCCTCCGAACCTCCCGCCATGCCACTCGGTAGGTAGTCCTGGGGGGGCAACTGACTTAAGATTCTGGCACATCGTTCCCTGAGGTCATTCTCAATCTCATCCCAACCCAGGCTCCCCTCAATGACTCAAGCTGTAGTCCCCTTCCCACTTCCTAAGCACAAGTACTCAATTTCCATCCCTTGCAGCTCAAGGTCTCTTCCAGGACTGGGGCGTCCAGGTACCCCATTACCCACCCACTCACTCACCTGTAAGTGCTGCAGACGCGTCGACCTGCACACAGTGTCAAATAGGGTTTGTATATTGGCTGGCTGTAGGATTCGTTGTACCGAACAGGAACCACCAAAGTCTGCCTGGAGCAGACTCCCTTACTGCACTCAAGTGGAGAAAGAAGAGGGGATGGAGATTCAGAATGGACAAGTCCCTAGAGAGTGCTTTTCACGAAGTTTCCTTCTCTTGGCCAGACCTCAGTGTCACCCACCCTTAAGAATGCTCCACCTACTGCCCCTACTCCCGCCCTTGCTAAGGACCCACCATCCTCACCTGTATGGAAGATCCCCATTTGCCCTCTGCCCCCCCCAGAAACAGCAGGACCGAGAATCCCGCTAGCAGAGAGCACAGCAAAACCCGGACCCTGGACCCCATGATCACTTGTACATCAGGGGTCACCCGCTGCTATCCTGAAAGGAGTGAAAAGGGGTTAATGGAGGAGTGCTCCCATCTATTCCTCTATCTGTCTGCTCTCAGTGGCTCAGAACCCCAGGCATCCCTTATTCGTGTACCTTCCCAGAGGCCCACTCACTCACATTACCTGCAGCAATCTTCACCTTTTGTCTCCAGTCATATATGTCTCTAATAATTGTCAACATACCCTGAACCTTATACATGCCCTTAATACTGTTCTCTCTCTCCTTACATGGGGTTGCTACCTAGATACATAAGAGACAGACACATGCACATATCCCTTATTTGATATATTTCTCTATGGACTCCTGTAATGTTTATTCTTCCCTTACACTCAAACCCTATGTCCATAAGCTCCTCATCCCCCAGACACTTCTCTCCTGACATAATAATGCTTCTTCGGAGACCCATATCTTAAATGGTTGGTTCCTTGCACATAACAGCATCCTGAAAAGTGTTTGTGGAAATGAATTAGGTCTTGCAAATGCCCTAAACAGACATCCTTACACCTACATCTTTTACATATGCCTGTTTCATACTACAATTTTGCATGATATCAACACTCTTCACCCACCACCTCTAACTCACACTCATCCCTAAGCCCGCTCAGAACACCTTTCCGTTGTCCTCTGCCCCCTGTACCCATTCCCACCTGGGCTTTCTCTCTCTCCCTCAGGACACTAGGAATAGCTGCAGACAAGAGTTACTCAGACAGGCAGGCACAAGGAGGAAAGCAAAGACAGAAGGGGTTGGGCTAGACAGAGGGGCCTCCCATCTCTACTCTCTCCCCGCCTCCTCCTCATTCCCTCTCCCACACCGGATTGAGATTCTGTGAAGAGTTAGCACCAGCAAAAGAAGTCTAAGTTCTAGTTTTCACATATCTTCTACTCAGCTGCAACAAACCTTTGCAAAGCTTTCTCCAACCCCACCCTTTATCCTCCCTATGGCCCCAGAGGCCCCCTTTTCTGGCATCTCTTCAGGGTCCAATAGAGGAGATACTCTATCCTAAGTCCCCACTTCCCAACTGTAAGACTGAGAACTGTATTAGGAGGTTAAGAGAGAGTGTAAAGGTAAAAAAGGAGGGCAGGTAAATAAATAGACCTGACCAGAGGAAGATGGAAATATAAAAGGGGAATAAATTTGGGCCAGCATGTGGGAAACAGGGGAAAGGTAATTTGAGAAAGAAAATGCCCCCTCAAAGTATAAATGGGGATAAGCTAGGTCCCCAGTGGGAAACGTTTCTAGCTCCCTCTGGCATTTGTGGGGTGCATAAGAGCTGTGAGTCAATCCGCCCCCCACTCCAGAGCAGACAGGGCCCCTTTGTCTTGATCAACATTCCTTGCTTGGGGGAAAAGGAGGCTTATTGTCTAGTGCCAACCCACCCCCCTCAGCCCAACCCCACAAAGGTCGAGAAGGGATTCAGATGATGCCCACCCTGACTCCCACCCCACAGCCTCCATGTCTAGCCTGCGGGGATAAGGAAAAAGACATTCCACCCAGAAGGCCTCAGCCTTGCTGACAAGCTCCTTGGACCCAGGCATTTGGTGCCTCTAGCCCTGTCCCCCAGTCCCAGGGCTGAGACAGGAAGAGAATTGTCCTCAACAGGAAAAAGCCTAGGGAGAATCAGGAACCCATACAGAATGGGCATTGAGAGGGCGGAAACACAGAGCCGGCCTCCACCCAGGACCCAGGCATCCGGGCACCCTACCATTAGGTTCTCTGCCTCTACCCCTTTTAAGAATCTAGGTATTGAGCCCCAATAACTGGTGAAATGAGTCAGATTATATTGAGCAAATGGAAGTTTATTTCCATAAATACAAGGAAAACATCCCCTCTACAGAAAGGTGGGATTTATGGGGTAGGGTCCTCAGAGAAACTGCTTCTAGGGGAGATCTCAACACTGAAGACAGGGGGTAGGGGCTACCCCAAACCTGAGACAGGCCTCATCGGCCATAGATACCCCAATACTGACAATTCAAAAACATATTTGTCCCTGGGACCACCCCATTGGGGGACCCCAGATCTCCTACCCCAGGTTGTCCTCCTGGGGGCTGAGGTGAGGAGGGAAAGAAAGGGAATACATGGGGAACGGAAACTAAAAATGTCCTGAGTCAGAGGGAACCCCCATTGTGAGGAAAAGGGCTGGGTTCTCCCTCCACATCCCCAGAGTATGGGGACAGCAGCAGCCAAGAGATTAAAATCCTAATTTTCTACCACCCTCCCAGAAATGAGAGGATATAGGGATGAGAAAGGGAAGATAGCTGGGAGGCTGTAGTTTATAACTGATACAGGAAAAGGTAGACCTGGGAGCCCTCTTTTAGGGGAAGGGACAGCTTGGTAGAAGTCGGGCAGCCAGGTGATAACAGAAGAGCCAGAGCTCATTGCTGCATCTTCAAAAAGACAGGTTTAAGAGTTCCAGTCTTGACATCCCCAGGTTTAGAGTTCTTGGGTTGTCCAAGATGGGGCTCAGGAAAGCCAAGGTTCAATGCAGGCCTCATAGAGCGAGAGGTTGGAGTGCCAAGCAGTGTGTGGGATCCCAGGAGTTGGACACCTTACAATGGCCCCTCGTGCAAACAAGGTCTTCAACCCAAAGGAATCCCGGAGATAAACCTTGGGCAGAAAAGAAACAGAGGTAGAGACAAAGGAGAAAAACACAGGGAGATATGTGAGGGGAAAGATATTATGGTCCCAGGGCTGGATTTCCTTCCACATTGCAGGGGAAATTTAGTGTCAGAGTTTCTCTCAGGAGAGAATCAGGGGAACAGGAGTCACAAGGGGTTCTTACCTGCTGCTCTTCCATCTCCAGTACTGTCTCGTTTGCATCATAAAAGCCAAAAAAACTGAAAAGATTTTTTGGGGGGGGAGAAGAAAAGCTGGTTAATTTTCTTCCTTAGGCGACACAGGTTCTCCTTACTTTTCTTGCACCCGGCAACTTCTCCCTCAATTAGCCCTTACTCCCCAGAACCCCATGTCCCACCATACCCTCCCTCTTTCCACTGTTTCCAACCTGGACTGCCAGGGAGTAATAACACCATCATCAGGCCCCCCAATTAGAACCACACGCTTCACACGGAGAAAGTTCTTCCGCCACACTGCCCAGGAAAGAAAAAAATGGGAAGTTAGGTTTGCATGCAGGAATCAAAGAGAGCCAGAGGGAAATAGGGCTGAAGCCTTGAAAGGAAGAGAGAAATATGAAGGGGATGAGGATGCAAGTTGGGAAGAGGGATAGCAGAGTTGCAGTCATGGTATCTCACCAGTGGCATTGGGATGGTCTCTCTCCCCATTGATTAGGGCCAGAAAGCTGCTGGCATTGAGGTACAAGTCAGAGTGGTGAGGATCTGGGGACAGACAGAAAAGGTATATGTATTTCATATATATGTGTGTGTGTGTGTGTGTGTGTGTGTGTGTGTGTGTGTGTGTGTGTGTGTGTGAGTGTGTGTTGTATGCACTTGTTTGATAAGAAGCATTATGGTATTGTGGATAGAGATCTGGCCTTGGACCCAGGAAGACCTGAGTTCAAATCCTGATGACACATCTTGGCTGAGTACCCCTGGACAAGTCACTTAACTTCTCAGTTCTCTAGGCAACTCTGACTGTAAGTTGCAGAGAAGATGTAGGCCAGGGGTGGGGAACCTGCAGCCTCAAGGCCACATGTGGCCTTCTAGGTTCTCAGGTGAGGCCTTTTGTCTGAGTCCAAGTTTTACAGAACAAATCCTTTTATTAAAGGTCCAGTGAAGTTTGGATTCAGTCAAAGGGCCACACTTGAGGACCTACAGGGCCACATGTGGCCTCGAGGCTGCAGGTTCCCCACCCTTGATAAAGATATGGCTATGAAATAGAAATCTTTATGTAATAAAATATATGAATATATACAAATATTCTACACGACGGTTGTTCATAAATGTGTACGTATAAAATATATACTTCATATGTCTATATTAAAGAGAAATATCACCAAGTCAACCACAACCTACTGAATTTTTCAGCCACACAAACTCTGCAAAAACATCTACTAAGTCATAGAGGGATTTCCATTTGAGTTGGTGAAAAAAGGTATCCACACCTAGGGAAATTACAGATCTTTAAAGAATTTAAGATATAAACAGATACATAAAAGGAGAAACAAACAGAAAAATAGAGTCAAAAACAAAGAGTTGGTCCCTTCCACTCACTGCTACTAACCCACTCTCCCAAGTACCCTTTCCTCCTCTCACCGTGCCAGTAGTTACAGATGGAGAATTCCTGGCCCCAGGGGCTGTAGCAGATTCGGTACAGGTTAGACCTCATAGAGGTAGGGAACAACCATTTCAGGTAGTCTGTGTCTGGAAAGGGAAAGCCACAGCCAGGTGGAATTGAGGCATCTGTCCCCTCCATATTCCTCAGAGAGCTGGGGAAAGGGGAACAGCCCTCTGATTACACCCTCCCCAGGCCCAGCTCCTCATAGACCTGAAGAAAGGAGCTCAAGGACTTGGGAAATCCAGCCCAGATTCACATCCTCTCCAGTTTCGGTTCTCTTTAAGGACTTGGGAAATCCAGATGTTCCCACTCTACCCTCCCCCTCAGAGATGAAGGCATCAGGAGCCTCTACTAACCTCCATACTGCCCCATTTGTGGAGATGAGAGGGAGATGAAAGTATCCACATTGTGTTCATCCATGACAGACAGTAGTGCCCGGCATATGAGGCCCCCTATAGCACGGTGGGGGAAGGGAGGGGGAAGTCATCTCATTGATCCAAAAACAGGAAAGAATACAGAAATTGGGGGAGCAAAAGATGCACAGGGTCAAGGACAAAATGAAACAATACAATCTGAGTACATTAGTAGGTCTAGGGTAGGGAGGAGGAGGAAGGGAAGGTATAAATGATCAGTCAGAAGGTCTAGGTCAATAGAGGGGGGCTGGAGTAGCCAAAATGAGACCAAATGCCCTAAAAGGCCATTCATTGGCATCAGAGATCATCAACAGTAGAGTTCAGAGGTAAGAGATGGGGTGGGAAGTGAAGGAAGAATGGTTACAAGTTAGGGAGGGCAGGGTTAGCAGTCAGGCACAAAAAGAATCATACCCTGGGAATAACAAAGGAGATGTACTCCATGGGGAGACTGCTCCATGATAGGAGCCACAGCTTCTCTGAACCCTTGCACCTGTTCCCACAGTGGTCGAAGACTCTCTCCCCCATCAAAGAGATCCAACACTGTCACCAGTGTCCCTGGATGTGTCTAGAGTAAAAGAGAAAACCAGGCCACCTATAAGGCAGTATGAGACAAACTCTCCACTACACATTCCCATCGCTAGATCTCTCATCTCAAGATCTGGGCCCAAGTATCCTTTTTTTCCCTGCCTTCCTCCACATCAGCATCAACTCGGTGGGGAACTCAAAAAAAGGCCCCGAATGAGCTGGGAAAGAACCGGTGTGCTGTTCCCTCGCACCCAAGATGCCCTATCTCCCTCCCTCCCTCCCTCCCTGCCTGACCCGCCCCGCCCCCACACCTCGTTGATGTACTGCAGCAGGTGCCTAAAGGTGGCAGAGCTGTCAAAGAGTCCATGCACTATGATGATAGGTTTGTAGGGAACTTTGGGGGACTCGGGAGCCGCAGGCAACAGGAGAGGCAGCAAGGGCAATAGGAACACGACTCCCAGCGAGGGGAGCCGGGGCCCCCAGGACCCCAGCATGCTCCAGCCTGGGAAGGAGGACAAGATGGACCGTCAGCAATAGTGGGTAAAGAGATCATTCTCCTCCTGCC